GGCTCGCACACTCACAGATGCGTGCTAATTACACAGCAATGTAAAACGTTATATGTGGTTTGTTATTTTATATCCAGGAACATGGTCCACAGCCTTCATTACAGAAAGCAGCTGTGTGTATACTTGGGGTCTAAGTGCTATTTAGTGGTCAGCTCCATGGGGTATTTTGTTTCAAGCATCACATTTCTTTTTTCCCTTTCCATACGTCTCTTGGATCCTATGTAGAGGAATGGAGTCTCGCACAGCTTGGCCTACAGCGAAAGGCAAAAGTCTCCTAAATGACAATCATCCCACTGTCCTAATTAGATTAGGAGAAACAGCCCAGGATGTGCCATACGCTGTGTAAATGTGTCCCCCAGTGATTGTGTGTGCGTGTGTGCGTGTGTGTATTCACCAGCCACACCTAGTCTGACCCATTCAACCTGTAGGGCTCTGCTAGTGGTGTCTTAAAGGAAGCAAGTAGTTTAGTAGCAAGATCTCAACTGTCTAAGCCTTCTAAGTATCAGCTGTGTAGCTTGAATATATCATGTGTCCCCTCTAAGGCTCAGTTTCCTCATCTTTAAAATGGGGGTAAAAACATCAGCCTCACAGTGTTGCTGAGATCCTTTAGAGCAGCGGTTCTCAACCTGTGGGTCGCAACCCCTTTGGGGGTCAAACGATCCTTTCACAGGGGTCACCTAAGACCATCGGAAAACACATACATAATTACATATTGTTTTTGTGATTAATCACTATGCTTTAATTATGTTCAATTTGTAACAATGAAATTGGGGGTCACCACAACATGAGGAACTGTATTAAAGGGTCGCGGCATTAGGAAGGTTGAGAACCACTGCTTTAGACTTTAGATAAAGGGTCTGGCACATAATTGGTCTTCAGTACCCCCAGCTCCTTCACTTGCCAAGGCCCTAACCATGACCCCCTCCCCAGCCTCCACTCCAGCTCTCTCTCAAAATCACCCCTCTTCTCTAGCCAGAAAGTTCTAGTCCCTGTCCCACCTCTGTCCCTTCCCATTCATCATCCTCCTTACCTGGGATGCAAGCAAGTTTCTTTCCCACTTGTTAAGTCCTACTTTTCCTTCAGGACCTAATTCAAACCCCACTCCTCCTCAATGTCCTGACACTCCAACAACAATCGTTCCCCACTTTGTACTCCAACGTTCACTGACTCTCCTGGACTTTTACAATACTGTTACTCACCTGGCACTGAAATGCATTTTAACTAGTCACCTGGATAATTTTTTGTAGAAAAGTTGCAAGTAGCCAGAGGTTAGGACTATATTCCTTCACGCTTAACACATGACAATGCATGTGGGGACCAATAAGTATTTGTGAGTTAACAGAATGTACACCATTGCTGTTATGTCACCGATGGCTACGCACAGGATGTGAACACACTTCGTCTGGATTCTGACTTGTAGCCACCCGCAAGCGATACTGGCCATTTATGCAGAGCAGCTAAGATGCTATCCTCTGATGTTAACATCAGATGAAGCTCTTTCCAAGATCATGCAAGGCCCTTCCTGGTGCCAACTCATTTCTGAACTTCCCCAATAGCCCTGGAATTCTAGCTCTCCCCATCGTTTATAATTTCCCAAATGTGCCAAACACGTACACTTCCATGCCTTTATATATACTGTTCCCACTGTCTGAGATGACCTTCCTTTCCTCATTCTCCCTCTCCAAATACTGGCCCAACTCAAACATCACCTTTTTCGCAAAGATCTTTGCTGATCTCTTCTCTCCTAAACTTGACTTTCTTCTCTTCTAAGATTGCTCTGCCCCTCATCCCCAATCCTCCCCAAAGCACCCTATTTGTTTGCATCTCTGTCTCCCTCACTGGGTTGCAAACACCCTGAGGACAAAATCTGCGGTTGATTCCTCTGTGTTCTCCATTCCCTCGCTGGGCTGGGCTATAGTAGGCTTTTTTATTTTAATGACTCATCTTGTACAGCAACTCTAATACTTGATTGTGCTTCTATGATCATGCCTCCATTTCCCCACTCCTGTAAGGGATTGCCCATTTCTGAATGGTTTCAGTTCTTCCCATCACTCTAAACTCTCTTAAGACTGCTGACCTCTGCCTGCTCCTGGACTCTACCTCCCCCTACTCTCCAAGGCAATCCTGTCCTTCAATCTAGGATTAACTTCCAACCATTAAAGCTGGAGTAGCGAAGACAGAGCCTGGGGTGAGTGGGAGTCAGGCACCGTTAACGGGGGGCGGTATAGGATTAACCCAACCATTAAAGCTGGAGTAGCGAAGACAGAGCCTGGGGTGAGTGGGAGTCAGGCACCGTTAACGGGGGGCGGGGTGGGGGGAGGTAAGAGTTGGAGCTGGAAGTCAGACCAGGCCAGGTCCATTTGAATAGGAAAGCCCCTCATCGCCCTCCCCCAGAGGCGCTCTGAGGTGGGACCCAGGGCTCCTGGATCTGCTCAGGAGGCAGACTTTGTTGGTTTAGTTCCGCTACAAGGCTCTGCTCCTGCCTGAGCTGTTCCAGCCTACGGATTCCTGGTACCCATCTGATTGAACAACTTAATTAAAGTGCAATAAAAGGAAAGTGGGCCAGATGTGCCCAGGGAGAGGAGGCAGGCATCTGAGTCCACTGCCTGCCTTCTGAGCCCTGTGCCCTTCCCATCCTGCCTAGAGGCTACTGGGCAGGCGGTGGCCAGGGAACTCTGAACTCCAGAGTTGGGTATGGAAGATGCTTAAAGGTTAACTGCTCTGTGAGTTTGTTCATACTGATGATAAGGAAGGTGAAGCCCAGGACAACAGAGCCCCCCAAGGCTGCTCAGTGAGACATTCGCAGAAGCATGATCAATCTCGAGGACTTCCGGACCATCCAGTGCTTTTCTCATGAACCAGGCGGGAGAAAAAATTGTTTGAAAACACTAGACCCTTGTCCTTGGGAGCACTCTCTTCTGGGCTCCAAACTTGTTTGTTCGTTGTTAGTAACAGCTTTATGGAAATATAATTCACATACCCTTTTACAGTGTACAATGTAATGGTTTTAATATATTCACAGAGTTGTGCAACCATTATGGCAATCAAGTTTAGAGTATTTCTTTACTCCCCAAAGAGATGCAGTACCCTTTAGCTACAGTCCCCCGATCTCCCCTTTCCTCCTACCCCTAAGGAACCACTAATCTACTCTCTGCCTCCATCTATTTGCCAATTCTGGACATTTCATATAAATGTCCTTTTGTGACTGGCTTCTTATATTTAGCATAATTTTTGACATTGATCCATATTCTATCAGTACGTTATTCCTTTTCATGGTCAAATAATATTCTATCACATGAAAGGGCCACATTTTGTGTATCCATCAGTTGATGGACACTGGGTTGTTTCTCCCTTTAGCTATTTTGAATAATGCTACTATCAATATCCGTGCAGTTTTTGTGTGTTATTTTCAATTCTCTTGAGTAAGTCCCTAGAAGAGAAACCTGTCGGTTCTTGCATCTCATGAACAATTTCAGTAACAATACCAGTGGAAATCCTAAAGCGTTATTGCACACACTGCCTCGGAGAATACTGACAGGAAGCTGGGTGGAGAGAGATGCAGAGAGGTTAATTATTCTGTCACACAGCCATAGGATAGGGCAAAGAGGAGATATAGTTGAAACACATGACATTTAGCCAACGAAACTTGTATAATTTTAGGGGAAAAGCCCCGGAACATTTTAAAAATCACACACATATTCACATGTGCCATCACTTTAATGATATGGATCAATTTTTAACGTGGTCAGGTCCTTTTCTGTCTACCTGCCCTATGTGTCCAAGTTCCCCATGGAGACCATCACACTCTCTCTCAGTGGAGTTCAGTTCTCCCACTTCCCAACTGTTCCACCTCATCCCCCCCACGCAGAGCTGGTCCTGTAGGGAGTTTTGGGGCCTGGTGGGTGGAGGCTCTAACAGGCTCTTTGGTCACAGCTGCAGTTCTCAGAGCTCTGTGTGTGGGAAACACGGAGCCACACTGTTCTCCATACTATCTGGGCACTCGGGCCTGCTCTGCGTCTGTCACCAGATGTGTGCGTGGCTAAGAGACTGAAGTTGCTCTGGATACCTAGCTGGTTAAACTACATGAAATTGTCAACATTTATTCATTTCTGGATTTATTAATTTATTAATAAATGCAAACTCATGTGGTTCAAACTGCCGGTCTCTGCTGTCCCCCCTGGGTTCCTGCCAGAGGCCCAGATCTTGTGCCCTGTAAGTCTTTTTGTCCCTCTATCCCAGCTGGTCTTCCTCTCCTAACTTCCTAGAGCGCCATTCTCCAGTTACTCAATCTTGTGCCCAAAGGCCTGAATCGGGTATTGAGAGAGCACTGGGCTGGGAGTCAGGAGACCCCTGACGATCTCCCCAGAGGTTGCTCTGCTTGCAGACCTCCGCAGGTACCTGTGCTCTCCACCTCCAGGCCTTTCACTGGAAGAATTTGTGTACCTTCACTCAGCTACTACCTGTGACTTATCCTTCAAGACCACTCCCAGAAGTCTTCCCCGAGCCTCTGGACTGTGTTAGGAGCCCTCTCTGTTTGCATTTACTTGTGCTTCTGTCTCTCCCGGCACTCATCATTTATAGTTTAATCATCTGTGTGTCTGTCCCTGTCTGTCTCCCTCTCAAACCTGTGGGCTTCTGACAATTCTACCTAATTCATACTTCAGTCTCGGTTGTCAGGACAAGAAGAGTCAGGCAACTCTCATTTAACAGAACTAACCAGTGGTGACTGTGACTCAGTTTCCCCATTTGCTGGAAATGCCCAGAGGCTTGGGCAGAAGGGGGCGGGTTTTAAGGGCACTTTCAATTCTTACCTCCCAGGCCCCTCACAGGGATCCCATGTGGGTCCAAAGAAACTGATGGGGCAGGATTGTTTAATTGAAAGTTCCAAGGAATTTTGAGGAAGATTATTTTGCTATTTTAATTCAGTTAGTGTTTGCATAGCACCCACTCAGTGCATGCAAATTAGTCAGAAAAGTGGTGGAACACAAAGTTGTACATACCAGCTTCCCTGATTCTTTTTGAATGCTGCCTTACCAGCCAGTCTGGGAGTGTCTGCCCATCCTGAGCCTCCTGCTGTTCACTCCCGCCAGGATCTTCGCATCAGATGCCTCCGGAGAGGCCAGTCCTCAAACCATCCCTGTACCTAGTCGGCCTGCATCTCAGAGCCCACCGTGGACGGTGGAGCGGGGCCTCGGCCCGGGCGCCCTCTGGCGGCCGCGTGCGGAAGCTACCTCCCGGCGGGGAGCAGGCGAGGGAAAGGGGGAGGGATAGGGGAGGAGGAGGCGCGGGCAGGGGAGGAGAGGAAAAAGTTGCGCTGGGAAGTTTGGAAAGTTGGGAAGTGGCTGCTGCGGGCTTCGCCTCCCTCCGCGCGTGTGTGAGGGAGCGAGC